ATCAATTTAGTATTGATAGCATGGTCCATAAACATGGTGAGTATTTTAGAATAAAGACAATTTTATTTGTGAAGTTTAAATTCAAATTTTGTAATTTTCCAGACACTTTTTTCTATACAAGTCCAATATAGTGAAACATATAGCAAAAATTTATCTAATGGGAATGAAGTTTTTTTTGACGTGGCATTTGAAGGAAGATTAATAATACATCACTCTTCTAGACAAGATTCACTGTAGTTAAGCTTATATTGGCTTCACAACTAAAAAGAAAAAAAACATGGCAGGTGATTGCATTTTTATCATATTAGAATTAGGGAAAGCAAGGGTAGAAGTGGATTTTGGAAAAGGAGGTAAGACATTATGAATCAAGTCAAAGCATAACATGAACTTCAAGGCCTACAAGATTGAGTTTTATAGGAAGTTTGGTAGATAGTAGAGAAAAAAGAGAAGGATGAATTAAAGGTAATATGCTAAATATTTAGGTGATATTTCTATTGAAACTTGCATTGAAACATACTTACCCTACTATTAAAACATTCCACTTTAAATGGATATAGAAGAGCTATACCATTCCACTAAAGTTAACTAAACACAGAATTGGTTTTTTGGTCCCTGTGTTTATTAACAACTAGAAGGGACATTATTGAAGAAGAATTCCACTTTAAATGGATATAGAAGAGCTATACCATTCCACTAAAGTTAACTAAATACAGAATTGGTTTTTTGGTCCCTGTGTTTATTAACAACTAGAAGGGACATTATTGAAGAAGAGAAAATATTAGATTTTTAGGTCTCAGATAATCCTGTGATATAACAAGTTTGTAAATCATAAATCAACTGCAACTACTTTTGTAATACATAAATGACAGCTTCATTTTTCTCTTCCCTTTTTTTTGTGGGGGGCAGTTGGCGGGTACAGGGATTGAACCCTGGACCTTGGTGTTATCACCACTTTCTTCCTTTTTTAATGTTGCATTTTGAAACTGAATTGGAATCATACTTCAGATATAATTTTGTATGCTATTAATGCTTCCTCATAACAACATTTCTCATGACAAATAATAATCAACTGGTTGGATATGTTATTGCTTTCCATTGTTTTAAATGCTGCTTCATTTCTGGAAAGATAGGAGAACCAGATAACAAGCTTTACTTTTTAAATTTGCATCATTTAACTTCACATGTCCTCACGAAATTATAATTTGGTAGGCACCATAAAAATTAGGATTTAGAAACTTCCAAGTCTAATATCAACTGCCACATACTAGGTAAAATCTAGAACCTAATTTTCCAGATTTGTATTCTGATAAATGAGGAGTAGAATTCTAAAAATTAATTTTCTGTTTTTTAGAAATACAAGAAGAACACTTAAAGATTTGTCACCTACGGCTGTTTCTCAAATAAAATTTCAGAAGTATCAAAATTATATACTATTTCTATTTCTCAATTAAAAATTCAAATATTGTCAGTAGTAGTTTAGAAGTCAGAAATATTTTATTTTTTAATTACAGAAGCCTTCATAGACCATGTCAATTAAACAAAACTTATATTATGTTAAAATAGGTGAATTATTTCTTTTTTCCCCCTTTAGGACTTGACTTTTATGGATACATTAAACTAATAAATTTTATTAGACTTAAGGTAAGTTGGCATCTTAATTTCCAATATTGTTTAGAAATTAAAGAAATGCCACAATAACTGTCAATGCACTGATTATCTAAAAGCTATGAGGAAGTGTTGTATAAGGAACTATTTTAAATTTGTTACTCATATTGTAAGAATCATGGATATTAGGAACTAGCACCAAGTAAATATGTACACATACTTACAAGTGTCATGTTTAACTGTGTCTAAGAGGTGAATCAGTGTTATATGAAAAAGTTCAATGTTAGATAAAGGGAAATACAGGTAGACAGTATTTCTGGAAAATCAAAAGTAATTTCTAGTGTCATTTCAAGTTCTTTGGTGGTTCTTTTTTGTTCTGTTTTTTTCAAATACTTTGTTCTTTTTTTGTCTTACTCAAATGAATTTTCATATTATCACTTTCCCCAAATCTAAACAATATAAAACTTTGCATTGAAACCATTAATCAAGCAATCATCTAGTCAAGTTAATGAAATGACAGGTGAATACAGACTCCTTAAGTAGAGACATGTTGATTTTGTATAATATAGACATGATTTCTTTTTCTGTTTAATTTTCTTAGTTTTTACTAGGGAAATTTTGTGATTATGTGCAATTAATTTTACATCCAGAATCCTACAGTTGAGTATATGAATTCCATATACAACCCAGTGCCTTGGGAGAAAGAAGAGTATTTGAAGCCAGTATTAGAAGATGACCTTTTACTTCAATTTGGTAAGATGAACATACTGTATCTACATTAATTAATGTTGGACCATTTGTTATGGCAAAATAAAATAGAGGTAAAGTGTTTTTGGAAAATACTTTATCTTTTTTATTCTCTAAAGACCTCATCAGGTTGTTGGTTTCAATGGAAAGGTTAAGTCACTTAAAAACTGACAGTCACACTGACAATTACTAGGAAGGAATTTAGAAATATGAGCTTGTTTGAACATTTTATACAGGATATTTTGAAATATAGGGAGACTTGAGAGAATAATTTTTAGTTGTTAGGAACAGATTTTTAAAAAACTTTAAAGTAGAGTTTATAATATTTGCTATTTTTGTTGTATATTTAGGTCAGGCAATTGATTTTTCTTAAGACATCTAATTTGATTTTTTGATGCAGAACAGATTCCACTCAAATTTTTTTTCTTTTCTTTTTTTTGGGGGGGTGGCTGGTCAGTAGAAGAATCCAAACCCTTGACCTTGGTGATGTCAGCACGATGCTCTAACCAAGTGAACTAACTGGCCCGCCCTTCCACTCAAATTTTCATTTTCATTTTCCCCTCATACACTAAACCTTAAGCTTCTACTGTGGCAGGGTCACTTTCATTTTTTGACTATAGTTTTCTTTCTTAGTTTGTTGCTCAGTGCTTTGATTCATTCCTTATTCAACATTGTGAAAATTCTGTTGGTCTCATGGATATGATCTATAGGAGTGAAGTTATATATTGTTTTCTTATTTATACTTTATTTCATGCTTCTTGTGCCAGTCAGGTGAGATAGAGGGTTTGCTTCTTCAGATCAGCAAGACCATTCTAAACAGACACATACCTTAACAGATAATAGTTTGACAATGTGTATTTGTGCAGTTCTTTGATTATTACCATTCACTTTCTTGAGAAATCATTGTACAATTATTGAGTTGTGTTGCAGTGATATAGTAAGAACCTTAATGTGGTATTTAGAAATTATGTGACCTTACACAAAGCACTAAAGCTTTATGTGTATTTGTGCAGTTCTTTGATTATTACCATTCACTTTCTTGAGAAATCATTGTACAATTATTGAGTTGTGTTGCAGCGATGTAGTAAGAACCTTAATGTGGTATTTAGAAATTATGTGACCTTACACAAAGCACTAAAGCTTTTTGGTTTTAAGTCTTTTCATCTGTTAAATGAGGAATTAGGGCCAGATTTTCGAGATTCTTTTTAGCTATAAAGTTTGGTGATTGCCAGCTTGATTCTTCCCCCTTTTCACAACTTCTTTTTTATCTCACTTCTTTTCAGAGTGACCAAAATGATCTCTGATAAATGACAAAGCGCCTAGTAGGTATTCTTCATGGTTTCCTAAATTCAAAATCATCAATTGAACACTGACAGGGTGAAAGCAGTATGTTAAGTGCTTTAGGAACATGAAGAAATGAATGTCAGAACCCTTTCCACACCCCAGTCTAATAGTAGGTTTTTCTTTTTTTTTAATGTCTCTGCTGTTTCAATATTACGTAGCATATGGTAAGTTTCATGAGAAATAGAAAAGATAATGCAGTTCAGAAGAGGAAGCAATTGCTCAGATCAATGATAGATACTAATTGAGTGCTGTGTGCTGGTCACTGTGGATACAGATTAGTATTGACCTCTTAATTCTCTAAAGGTATATAAACTTAATTTCTTTCAGCCTTAATTTTAATTTATAAAAAAGGTAACAAAGGCACCTACCTTATAAGATTGTTATGAAGATAATACATATTAGTATGGTTGCTGCCACAGGGTAAGTGCTTAATAAAGGAGAATTTATTGTTATTAGTAAATAAATAAATTCTACAGAGTTTACATGAAGTCATGACTAAGATATGGAACAGTTAAAGGGCCTATAAAAGGAAGTGGAACTTGAACTTGGCATGATCCTAAGTGCCCACATTCTTTCTAACAATCTGTGCTCCTGGCTATTGGTGGAGAAAGATGGAAGAAAAAGTTGTCTGACAGGAGCTCCCTTATAGGTGACTTGACACTTTTCTCTTGCTTCTTTTAAGATTCTGTCTTTGTCTTTGAGCTTTGCCAGTTTGATTATAATGTGTCTTGGAGAGGATCTTTTTGAGTTGGATCTGTTTGTGGGTCTTTGAGCCTCCTGGATCTGAAGGTACAAATCCCTCCCTATACCCGGGAAGTTTTCCATTATTATTTCATTGAATAGGTTTTCTATGCCTTTTCCTATCTCCTCCCCTTCTGGAACACCCATGATTCAAATGTTTGTGCACTTAAGGTTATCTACTAACTCTCTTAGATTTTCTTCATTTTTTAAAAATCAATTTTCCGTTTTTTGGTCCTCCTGGGTTATTTCAAAAAGACTATCTTCAAGATCAGGAATTCTTAGTTCTGCTTGTTATAGCCTGCTGCTGAACCTCTTGGTTGTGTTTTTTGGTTTTTTGAGTGAATCTTTAAGTTCCATGAGTTCTGCTACATTCTTTTTTAAGGTGTTAATCTCTTTATAAATTTCTTCCTTCAAATCCTGGATGTTTTTCTCATTTCATTATGTTGTCTCCATTTCTATCTCAGTGGGTTCCTTGAGATTGTTGGTCAGAATTCCTTTTCAGTCATTTGAAGCATTTCCTACTCTGTAGGGTCTAGTATTTGAGAATTACTGTATTCTTTTGGTGGTGTCGTATTTTCTTGGATTTTTGTATTTCTGGTATCTCTGTGGATTTCTGGTCATCTGGTAGAGCAGTTGCTTTTTCTATTACCCTGGAGTGGGCTTTGAGGAGAGAGACATCCTCTTTTCTTTCTAGTCTCTATTACTGACTCTCCTTGTGTCACTGCAGTCAAGTGGCAGGCTGCCTACACGGTGGCTGTGGCTCCTGCTGTGGAGTGCTTCTGTAGTAGCTGTGGCTGTGGTGGTGGATGTGGTGGGCCACCTGCACAGAAGTGGTGTTTTTGGTGTTCTCCTTGCCTGCTTCTGGGCAGGGGATGTTACCCTCAGCTCCTGCCTAGGACCCTGGGAAGGCTCTTAATTTTAATCTTTTCATTGAGTCAATTTTTAACTTTGTTAATTTATTCTATTTGTATGGTTTTCTTTTTATTTCATTGATTGTTGCTGTTAACTTTTTAATTTTTTTCTCTACTTAATTTGTGTTTATTTGGCTCGTGTTTCTAGTTTCTTAAAGGTGAACTTCGGTTATTTGGTTTTAGACCTTTCTTATATATTGTAAACATTTAAAGATATAAGTTTCTCTCTTAGCATGGCTTTAGCTACGTCCTACAAATTTTGAAGTGTTGCATTTTTATTGTTTAATTGAGAATATTTTAACCATTTCTTATAATTTATTTTTGGACTTAAGGCTCATAGAAGAATGTGTTGTTCAAGTTTTAAATATTTGTGTTTTTTTGCAAACATCTCATTGATTTCTAATTTGATTTCATTGTGATTGATGATCATACTCTGTAGTTTCATCCCTTTTACATTTGTTGAGACTTATTTTTATGACCTGGCACATAGTCTTCCTTGGTGAACATACTGTTTGTTTTTGAAAAGAATGTATATTCATTTATTAGATGAAGTATTCTATAAATATTAGGTCAGGGTGCTGAATAATTTCATTCAGATCTTTCAAGTCTTTTTGCATATTTTTCATCTAGTTCCGTCAGTTGTTGAGAGGGTTGTATTTAAATCTCTGTCTGTCATTGAAGGATTGTCTATTTTTGCATTTAATTGCTTTATGTACTGTTTTGGATCTCTTTTGTGAGGTTTATACACATTTATAATTATTACGTCTTCCTTAAAAATTGACCACCTTTTGTGGTATTGCTCATCTACCTAAATGAAGTATCCAGGTAGTTTGAACATCCTGAGACAGAATGTAGATGTGGAAATTTATCTTTCTGAGTATGATTTGGGATTTTGACAGATTGTAGTTATGAATCTTAGTGTTTATGGAATCCATAATATGATACGTACATATTATTAATGTTAAAAGTTGTTGTTATGACTAATTTTTGTTATAGCAGAAAGCAAAACAGAAACATCCCAGACAATTTGAAGAATTCTGAGAACAAAATACAAAATGAGGGTTGTGGTAGGAAGTGGAAGATATGATATATCAGCCTTAAATAGTTTAGAAATATTTTGTTGTGCTCATTAATTTTTGGTGAATTAAATAGCGAATGAGTCTATAGTTTTTAAAAACAATGACTCAGTATTCTGCCATTGTGATTAGAGGCTAGTGACACACTGCACTGCTTTTCTAACAAGAGTTCAACTTAGGCTCTGGTCTCTTAATTGTAGTATTATCATGTATCTGTTAAGCTTAGCTATTTTTTCCAGCTCTGAAGAAGTGTTTTCATAAGAATAAGAATCACAACTAAAAACTGAACGGGATTTAAAAAAAAGTCAGATATTCCCCAGTGCTGTACTGAAGAGAAAATATAGTATTTGTGTTGTTTGTTGCTCTAAGTTGATTTGAAAGTTAATTAGATTAGCAAATGGACATTGGGATTTTGTAAAACTCACTTGCTCCATATATTAACTTCTGTTTGCAGAGTTATTAGTTCTATGACAGAAGTTAATGATTTGTATGTAATGAAATTAAAATTAAACCAAGAATTTTTAGTAGTATCAGGAATTAGGTTGTTTAATAATATCAGCAGTAAGATGTTAGCTTATAGAGTGCACTGCATCTTGCCTAGAGTGAAAGTTGTTGAATATACAGAATTCTTTATCTGCACACTATCCTTAAGGAATATTTTTTTTTCTCTCCACCCTTATGAAGGTATATTTGATAAATGGAAATTGAATACATTTAAGATGTACAATGTGATTATCTGATATAGGTATACATTGTGAAATTATTACCGCAGTCAAGCTAATTAATACATCCATGATCTCACATACAGGTTTATTTTTTATTTTTATTTTTTTTTTGTGATGAGAACGCTAAAGATCTACTGTCTTACCAAATTTTGAGTATACAATATGGCATTATTAACTCTAGTCACCATGCTGTAGATTAGATGGCCAGACCTTGTTCAAACTGGAAGTTTTTACCTTTTGACCAACATCTCTGCATTTCCCCCAACTGTCATTCTACTCTCTGCTTTCGTGAGTTTTTTTGAGATACCACATATAAGTAAGATCATGCAGTATTTGTCTTTCTGGGTCTGGCTTATTTCACTTAGCATAATGTCCTCCAGGTTCATCCATGTTGTTGCAAATGGCAGGATTTCCTTTAAGGAATGTCTTAATGTAATACCTGCTGTTCTACAGATATCACACACAGGCTGAGAGGTGGCCTTGTATAGTGGCAAGAACACAGGCTAGGAAGGCAGATGTGGGTTTTAATCTTGGCTTCTCTGTTAAACAACTGTATGACTTTGGGTTAATCACTTAATTTCTCTGTAATTTATTTTTCCCATGCCTATAGTCGGTATAAGTATTTACGTCTTAGGTTTGTTTTGAGGATGGAATGAGACTTAATACATGTACTTGAAAGATACCTGGTGCTTAATAAATAATAATTTTTTTCTACTTTTTTCTTCCTTGGTTTTGTTCAATATAATTAATACTTATACATGTGTTCAATTTAGCCAACTAATGAAAAACTTAGCCTAATAGCATACTCTGAATTCAAATTGAAACTGTTTGGATGTTAAATACTTAATTAAAAGTACTTTTACTAATTTTTCTCAGTCGGCAACAGAATAGGCTCTTAGGATATATTTATTCCTGATATATTTATACTTGTTTCATTGTGTTAAGATGGCTTGATAATAATGTCCAATTTTTTTTTAGATGTAGAAGATCTTTATGAACCGGTGTTAGTCCCATTCTTATACCCCAATGGACTCAGTGAAAATACATCTGTCGTTGAAAAATTGAAACATATGGAAGCCAGGGCACTGTCTGCTGAAGCTGCTTTAGCTAGAGCACGTGAGGATCTTCAAAGAATGAAGTAATTTATCAGTCTTACAGAAAATTGTTTTGATCCCTCAAATAATGTAGCTACTGGCGAGGTAGAATATAATAGAACATTTTATATACTAGAAAGTACAATGTAGGTATTTAATATTAGTAGCAGTAAAAATATGTAGCATTTTTAAACATTTGGATATACTGGATTCATATTACCTATTCTCATATACTTCTTCGTAATTACTTTTGTACTAATGGTAATTATTCTAATAGGTGTTGTCTTCTTGAATGTTTTTGTTCTTTGATATTGTCTTCTAATTTTTCTGTTTCCAATTGATTTTACTTTTCCTATCCTAGATTTTAAATGGAAGGATTATTGTTTTTTAGGTTTGGAGAATATACAGGGTAAGTTTTATGTATATGCATATCACCTGGGGATCTTGTTAAAATGTAGATTCTGATTCAGGAGTTCTGGAATAGGGCTTGAGATTCTTTATTTCTAACAAGTATACCTTCTAACCTTTACCTGTTGGGTTTGTAAGCAGGTTGCTATTGCCTGAGTATCCATTTGATGATTTTCAAGACTGTCCAGGAGGAAAGATAGTAGAGCTAATTGTAGTTTCCCTTCCCTGTTCCTGAATTTTTATGCAGGGTAACCTACTAACCAACACCAACTGTACTTTCTACTTCTTCCCCTTGCGTACCTTGTAGATTCTTAATGTGTCATGATCAGAGAGGGAGCTAAGTTTTACAGCTGGAGTGGGTGGTGTTGGTGTATGTAAATAATTATCTATATGGGTCTACTTTCTCCTTATTTAACCCTCCCAAGAGATAATACAGTTTTAAAGATTATTAATAAAGTCGAAATATACTAAATTGATTCAGCTACTAAAAAATTTTTTAGAACAATAGAAATAATAAAGCTGAATAAAGGTAATGTGCTTATTTTTTGCAGTTAAAAGATAAACAGCTGTAATCCTCAATTGGCATTGCTTTTTGTGGTTTGCAGAAGGAATGCTTACATCTGGGTTTGATTGTGCCATTGCTTAAGATCCAGCAGGGGGAGCTTTCAGTTGCTTAGGATAGAATGTGATTTAAAAGGCTCATCACACTCCACTCCCTCCTTTCTTTTCCTCAACCTCTAGCCTTTCCTTTTTTCGTGGTACAATAAACCTGTCTCAAGGGTGTATTTCAATTCTTTTCCTCAACCTCTAGCCTTTCCTTTTTTCGTGGTACAATAAACCTGTCTCAAGGGTGTATTTCAAATTGATTACAGACAGTTTGCTCAGGATTTTGTGATGAACGCAGATGTCAGAACCAGCTCGTCATCTACTACTGCCATTGCAGACCTCCAGGAGGATGAGGATGGTGTTTATTTCAGCTCATACGGGCATTATGGGATACATGAAGAAATGCTAAAGGTTAGGAAAGTACAAATGCGCCAAATCCATACTATAGTAAAAGTAGAATAGAACAGGGTCATTCTTCATATGTACGCTATAGGAGAACTGCTTTTTTTTGGGGGGGGGGGGACCGCTTTTTAAACCTCTTTGCTTGATAGCTCATCTTGCATTGAAGAGATTACAGAGGCATCAAAGTCTTTGTAAATTCTATTTAAGATCATTTTTAATCTTTATTATGAAATCACTTTTTTCTTAAAATAGAACATTGGAAACAGCAACTGCTGACAGTTTTAGTTTTCTCAAAATTTGCAACTATTATGTTAAATAGAAACAATTAAATTATATGTTTGCCTTTTAATGTACAAAGGAATGATTGATTTTAGCATTTTAAGTAGCAATTCTGACTTTAGTTTGGGCAAATAATTCTTTGGTATAAAGTTTAATTTAAATAATTCTAACAATTGTTATGACATAACTTTTTTGCATTTGAAATCATTGATGTATAGAAGTATTTCCTAAATTGGTCAAATCAGGTTTTAAATCTTGTTGGTTTTAATTTTTACAGTGGTAACATCCATGTAAAATAAAAGTTGATTTCTAGCTATACTTGGTAATTATACATTTTATGAAGTATTTTATTGTAGATTTTAAAATAGCAAGATGTAATTTTTAATTCAGTGAAACTGAAAATATATAACTAGAGTAAAATAATGTTGGAATATAAAAGTTATTGAAAATTTTAGATGTTTATCTCTGAATTTCAGATGCTACCATTACCTTTCCTTAAAACCAACAAACAAGGGCCGGCCCGGTGGCGCACTGGATAGTGCGCTGCTTGGGAAGCGCGGCGGCGCTCCCGCCCGAGGGTTTGGATCCCACATATAGACCGGTTCCTGCTCACTGGCTGAGCGAGGCGCGGGAGCAACACCGAGGGTTGCGATCCGTTGCCGGCCATGGAAAAAAGACAAAAAAAAAAAAACCCAAAAAAAAAACCAACAAACAAGGGCCGGCCCGGTGGCGCACTGGATAGTGCGCTGCTTGGGAAGCGCGGCGGCGCTCCCGCCCGAGGGTTTGGATCCCACATATAGACCGGTTCCTGCTCACTGGCTGAGCGAGGCGCGGGAGCACCACCGAGGGTTGCGATCCGTTGCCGGACATGGAAAAAAGACAAAAAAAAAAAAAACCCAAAAAAAAAACCAACAAACAAAAAATCCCTTCCTAAATTTTTCCTCTAAACATTGTTTTCTTTTACAGAAGCCCTAAGACTAAGTTTCCCTGAAAACATATGCATTTAAAGTAACTAGGGATTTTTAATAACGTGTATATATTTTGTTGACTCAGTTTTGCAGGATCACAGAATGGAAGTTTGCTGATTCATAGTAGTAGTAATTACATAGGGTCTTTTAAAGCAGTGTCACATCATTAGTAATGACATGTCACAGTTGGTTGTGCTTTTTGTTGTCACTTGGGTAATGACATAGCATTGCAAATAATAGATATTTTATAAGTAATAAATTATTTTAAGTCAAGAGTGAATTTAAAATTAATTGACTTACTCCATTTTCTTTGTTAAAATTACTTTTATTATGTCTATAAAATTTTCTTTAAAGGAGTTAATCTGAGCCTCTGTTTGTCATTTAAATAACCTTATCAATCAGTTTAAATGCCATGAACCTGTAATATCTTTGGTGTGAAAATTGTGTTGGGCTTTTCAGATAGGTAAAGGTCAGTACAGTATAGTGTTGTCAGTACAGTCATCAGGGAAATCCAGTTTGAGGACTTACCATTTACAGATCTCTGTCTTGGACACTTGTAGCTATATGTCAATAACTAGAGGATCTTCATACCCAACTGTATACCTTTAAGTCCTTTTGATTCCATAAAGATTTAAGAAGTTCCAGTTTGACGTTTTCAATGCCATATTTTCCCTTTCAGAGAATCACTTAAGAATCCTTATCAATATCATTCTCTGTGTCTTAGTTTCCCTTAACTATTGTACAATGTAATTACCTTTTGGAGATGACTTGATTAAGTGTTCATAGGAAATATGGGTATATTCGATTCAAAAAGAAGTGTTTATCCATTTTATATTTTGCTAAGTTATGTGCTGTGGGTGAATGTGGAGCATGCCTTATATTAAGTCAAATTTCTTCTGTTTCTTACCAGAATGATTTTTAGCAACATAAATTGTTCATGGTTATCTAGAATAAGATTAGTAGAATCTTACCTATTTTTTACAAGTAATTTAAAATTGAGAAATCATATTTACAGGACTTATTTTTATGCTTAAAATTGGCCTTGTTATTATAAAATGTGATTTAGATTGTTGCTTAGTCTCAGATATTTTAATGACACTGTTTTTACACGTTTTGATTATAATTTTAAGTAGAAGAGGTTTGTGATCTTATTTGTGGAGTTAAAATGAAGATAACTTTTTTGAATTCCAGAAATCTAGTTGATGGAGGGATAGATTGCATGAACTTTCAGAAGTGGCAAGGGTGCCACTGTATCTTTTTGAAGAAGAGTCATTATTGACTAATAGTATAAATCTGAAACGCAGGACTCTTTTTTTTTAAGGTTTTCAAAAGAAACGTTCACCCTATTGTGCATATATCACAGATCATAGTACTACTTAATAATTTGAAATTTTAGTAATTTTTCTTTACTGCATTCTTTTTTTAGTATCTACAGCTGACTCATAACATTCTGTTCACCTTCACAAGACTACAAATTGAAAACATACTATCGTGCATGTAAAATTTATAGTCTATAAACTTTTCTATTGTTTTTAGCCTCATTCTTAAATTTTTTTTATATTTGTGGGAGTAATTCCATGATACTTTACTAGTCTTAAAACATTGTCTTGCTCCTGAGTGTTAGAGCTCTAATTTTGTTCTTTTGTATTTTTTAGTTTTAAAAGGTTGGTGCAAAAGATCATTTTTAACCTTTCTGTTTATTATCTTATTTTGTATTGATGCATTAGCCTTTTGTTAGAATAAATTTTTAGAAATGGGTCTGAAAGCTAGTCTTCTATTTCTTTGCATTTTCATATTTAGTGGATTTTTCTTTCAAAAATTTGTTATTAAATTAAAGTTCTGCTATGTGCAAGGCACTATGTTCAGTATACTTTGGATTTCATTACACTGGGATGAGAATATGAACAAAAACAGAAGAATATATAGAAAGAGCTAGAATGAAGGATTGAAGTTCATTCAAGCAGCAGTGCATGGAGTTAGGACAGCCGTCAGGATTCTGTAGATTAAGTTGGAGCAGTGGTGAAGCAGTGAGAGCTTTCTAAGTGACTGCATTCATGACAGATGCTCACCCTTCGTAGGTTATAGTGTAAGAAGAGTATTAAAAAAAAGCTAAAGGTGTATGAAATGGTATGCTTTAAAAAGGACAGTTTTAAAATTAGATAATTAGTTTATATACATAAATGTAATTAGACATTATATTCTCTTAGTAATTCTTAAAATAACTTCCAAGGAAAGATTTAATAAGCCTAATTTGAAACATTTTTTGTAAAGCAATTAAATAATCAGAAAGCATGGACTTAATTATGGATATTTCCCTTTTTAGGTCCAGTAATTAAGTAAAATGATTTGCCTTTTAATTTAAAATCTTTATATTCTTTTTTTAAAAAAAATCCCAGTATTGGCATAAATATGTTTGGGTAGGGTATAGTTTGTGTAACATTTTGATATCGTAGCATTTGTTTTAGTTATTTTCTTTTTACCTAGTGTAAAACCTAAAACTAGAATTCTCATTCTGTGACATTTATTTTTATTGTGCTCATATTTTACTTACTTGGTAGCAGATCCCTTAACTGCTTAATTTGTAGTTAGTATTTTTCTTACCTTAGGGAATCAGCTCTGTTCACAAACCAATGTAAATATTAGAGTTGAATGCCTGCCGTGGTCGCAGGTCATGAGAGACCCTAGAGTGTAAGTCTAGTAATGTGGGCTACAGGGCTCAAATGATTTACTTTTAGGCTTACAGGCTTTTAGGCATCATTTCCTACTTCAGAAATTTCTAGAAACAAAACAAGATTATAAATCAGATAGGTGCTGATCAATGACTTTCTTAGAAAACATACTTAGTGTAGCTTCATTTTTCGTATGTAACTGCAACTTTTACATTTATCTATTTTGGTTTTTCCTCTTCCTTAACTTTAATATAGATCCTAGTACAGGGAGGCAGGCTCTAGATTCCAGGCCTTATTTAAAGGAGCAAAATATCATGTTTGTCTTTTATTAGTTTTAATTAATTCTTGAAGTCTTATGGTGATTATGTTGGAAAGAGGAAAATGGGCATGTTTTTAAAGAATGTAGATAGATCTTATTTGACTTTCAGTGATGTACTTAAATGTTTTCCTTGTGTGTTGTTGTTAACTCTGTTCTTCATTGTTTTCTTTTAGTAAAAAAAACAAGCTTGGTTTCCTTATAGAAACTAGCAATATGTGGGGCTGGCCCATGGCTCACTTGGGAGAGTGCGGTGCTGATAACACCAAGGCCACGGGTTCAGATCCCATATAGGGATGGCCAGTTAGCTCACTCGGTGAGCGTGGTGCTGACAACACCAAGTCAAGTGTTAAGATCCCCTTACTGGTCATCTTTTTAAAAAAAAAAAAGGAACTAGCAATATGTGATAAAATAGCAAGTATCTTCCTAAAAAATGTATTTCTTCAGACTATTCTGTAAACACAATGTTTTCCTCTCTTTACCCTAGGACAAAGTACGAACAGAAAAAAAAAAAAGGAACTAGCAATATGTGATAAAATAGCAAGTATCTTCCTAAAAAATGTATTCCTTCAGACTATTCTGTAAACACAATGTTTTCCTCTCTTTACCCTAGGACAAAGTACGAACAGAAAGCTACAGAGACTTTGTATACCAAAATCCACATATCTTCAAAGACAAGGTGAGTAGCACAGGTTATAGAATTGTACATTTTATGTTGTTTTGGGGAAGTAGAAATCCTCTTGGGTCATCATTGTGATAGCTGTTGATTTAATATACTCTGGCTTTATTTCATGGAAGACTTTTATGATGCTGCTCTGTGGTGCAGGATACTGATAACAGAAATGGTGATTGGTGCTGTCATTCAACATACTTTTTTAAATTGAAAGTCATTAATTACAGTGACATAGCTTACTTAAACTTTGCTTGTCCAGATTATTTTGCTTAAGCCATATTTTTGATTTACAGTAATTCCTGTGAATTTTAAATGTACCAGATAAGCACCATATCAAAGCATACTTGTAATTATTATTCTAGTTTAAGTAGTAAAAAATTAATAATTTTAAGAAGTTATTAATGAGTGGGGCTAAATTATAAGGTAGAATTTATTTTATGTGCTTTCTTTTAATACCTTATTATTAACCCCTTTATGAGACACTTTATAATTTACAAGTAGTTTTAATATTGCCTCAGGTTATTTCAAAAATGATTCTATAATCTGTGTCTGTGTGTGTTTCTGTTTGAAATTTATGTCATTTGTTTATCCTCTCATCAATTTTTAAAAATTTTTCTCACTCCCTCCTTGTCCCTCTCTACATTGGCGTGGCTACTTAAAAGTTTGTGTTTTCTGTTTGTTCCTTCCTATTGGAAGCTAGTTCACTAATTTAGTCAAGAATATTATGATCTCTGCCATTTATATACCTTTGCTTGAGAATTTTTCCCCACTCCGTTCATTTCAAGAAAGTGTATGATTGATACCATACCAGGTTTTTATAATTCCTCTTTTGCCTCCGTTGTGAAAGGTACTTCTTCAAGGTTACTTCATAGGCTTTACATGATGTTGCAGCACTGGGTAACAGCCTTTATGCTTTGAGACTCACTTTTCCTGATTTTTAAATTGTTTTGAATATAATGTGGATTGGCTTTTTATTTTTTATGCCTCTTTCCTAAGAGCAGTGTTTCACTTGTGACTTATCTAAGACAAAAATGTCCTGAAATTTATAGTGGTGCTCTGATATCTTTCGGCCATAGCATTACCTATCATGAAAAATTTCTATCATGAATGGTTGTGTTTATTTGTTTTTGCTGATTTCTGCCACAGATAAATGATTTAATTATTAAAATTCTAGTTATTATCAATTCTTTGTATTTAGCTTTTTTGTATGCTTTTTATATATTACTGTAGTGCAGACTAGGAATTTTTTCATAGTTTTTGTATTTGCACTCACGGCCTGGAAACAATGTATTCAATATGTGTGTCTAAAAACCACTTTGTTTCCAGTGAAGCAAATCATGTTACTATAAAAAATGTTGCTTTGTATGTCCAGATATTTATTTTATTTTTTTCCTTTCTATGTTGTGTAGAAATTAAGCATGCACTGGTCTGGAATCACTAATCTTCGCTAGTCAAGAGCCAGCTATATAATTTTGGGCAGGTAGTGATTCTCTTTGGGCCTCACCTGTAAAATGATTTTTTTAGATCCCTTCTGCTTCTAAAATTCTATGATTTTTGTTATTGTAAAAGCATCATCATTGTCTTTCTTTGAACTGTCTTCTCTTAATACTTTTTTGGTATGAATACCACAGGAGTTTATTAAGAAAGTAAGTTAGAGGTTTGTCCTTCAGTATTCTCCTGCATAGACTTTTGATTTACATTAGGTAAGAAAATACTGAAAGGGCTCAAGTAGTAGCAATTATAAGATTAATCATTGAGAAGTTAAGAATATGTGAATATTTCTATATACATAGAGCAATTTTTACTGAATTCAGAGATCTATATACACTGTCACTTTTGCTCCTAGTTCTTATTATTTTTTTATTTTTATTTTTTCTTCTCCATACCCTTTATTTGTTGATTCAGTTGCTCCCCCCTCTTCAGATGTGGCCCCTGCTGCCTCTGACATGCACACATTGGCGTGTCCTCCCAGACTGGGGCTCCCAGCAAGGGAGATGTAGGGCCCAGCCTCTACCAAGGATCAATAAAGCAGCTGAGGGTTGGAGTCTTGGGAAAGAAGGAGAGTCTTAAATTCAAGAAGATGGCTAAGATTGGGAGGATTGGGGTCCTCAAGGGCTAGAGGAGCTTAGAAGTCCAAGGAGGTGGCCCAGCTGGGAGGCAGCTCCTGAGGAGAGCCTGGGAATCTTCAAGGCAGCACTGTCTGGAAGAGAGCTGTGCGTTGATGACTCCAGCATTTCTGTCTTCAACCTTGGTATTCCTTCTGCCTGGCTGGAATCTCAGTCAGAGGTTTTGTCTCCTCTCATGTTCCCTCCAGACAGGCCAGTAGTTCCAGCTTCACCAGTACTACCACTGAGCTTGGTCCCTCCAGCATAGGGGTGGCAGCAGCAACTTCCTGCTCTTGCTCACCTCCTGGCTGTCTCACTGTGCCACTTTCTCCTCTTAGCTGCTTCCCTCACCAGCACTACTCATTCCCTGTACCCAGTTTCTTCTTTTGAAATATTTACAGTGGTTTCTGTATCCCAAGTTGAACCTGACTGAAGAGATAAGCTATCTTATGCCAAAAACTGGACTGTTGATCTTCCCTACAAACCATCTGCCCCATCTTAATAAACAACCTCATCATCCACCCATGGTTCAGACCAAATGTTGCATATGTTGTACATTTGCAGATGAAGTATATATGACCATGGAAACCACTTAATGTCTAATTATTTTGTTATGTTCCACTTACTCCCCTTACTAAGAGATAGAATCTGCTGAAGTCAAAAAAGGGCTTATTTATTAAGACAAGAGTATTTTTCCTTGGTACTTTGCCTAAGATGCTTGCATTTAACTTTATTAATATGTAATGAGTTTTGCTTGGCATTTATGGTTTCTTAATATACTGTGATGTAAAATATTATACATAATCTAACTTCTTAAAGCATATTCAGGGCATAATTTTCTGTAATTAACAATATTAAATAATCCTGAGCTTTCATATTTTTAAATGATTTGGGATACATTTTCTTTATTACACTATGGCTGCAGATTTAGAAAATATGGGCCGAGCCCGTGGCGCACTCGGGAGAGTGCGGCGCTGGGAAGCACAGCAGTGCTCCCGCTGCGGGTTCAGATCCTATATAGGGATGGCCGGTGCGCTCACTGGCTGAGCGCCGTGCGGCCAATCTCGGAAAAAGACAAAAAAAAAAAGAAAATATACTATCATATATTTAAATAGCATTTGATTGCTGCGGGTTCAGATCCTATATAGGGATGGCCGGTGCGCTCACTGGCTGAGCGCCGTGCGGCCGATCTCGGAAAAAGACAAAAAAAAAAAGAAAATATACTATCATATATTTAAATAGCATTTGATAATTTATAGATTACTTTCAAACATGTTGTCTCTTTGTCGTTATATAATATATCTATAACTAGGCAGGGCAAGGATTTTTCCATCTTACACATGAGCAAACTTCAAACCAAAAGGTTAATTGACTTGCCCCCAAACAGACAACAACCTGAGCTTTTTACCCTAGTCTAGTGCCCTTAACACAGTGCCACCACGTTTAAACATCATCATGTTAATATAGAATGTGTAAGTAATTAGGGTGGGACCCATTATTTATATATTAACTTTACACTATTTTTCACGTGTAGGTTATATGTTTTCTGTGTGTCATGACAGGATATGGTCATGAGATTATTTAAATATAATTCTTTTAATACTGTATGAAATATAAGTTTTTTCTAAATATTATTACCATTTTTTTCTGTTTGCTTTTATCTCTGTTAGGTAGACAAACTTCATATCACAACTATAGCTTCTATATCACATTATATAGTGCATAGTAGAGACTTATTCTTCAAAAGTGTTCTTGTAATTAAAAATGTTTTCCTTCCTTTCTTCCTTCCCTTCTCCCTTCATCCATCCCTCCCTGCTTCCTTTCCTTCCTTTTCTTAAACATTGTTTCAATTCACAAGGCTCCTGTGGAGACCATATGGTTTCTCAGATTAATTGAACTTTGGGTGGCATTTAATTGTGTTATTATCCACTTGTAATTAATTTCTTTTTGTAGTCCATTAAAGAAATTTCCAGTTAGGTACCTTCTTTATGCTCCTGGTTATTATCTACAGTAACAATTGATTCACTTTTTTTTTTTTTTTTTTTTTTTAAAAAGTAAATCAGATTTCTTCATCTCTTTCTCTGTCCTTCTACTCAAAAACATTTTTTACAAAAAGGAAAAAAATTTTTTCATCATTTTAAAAAATAGTGTTAGTTTATTCTGTTATTTCCTCTTCTTTCTTTGATTTTATCAAGTTTAGTTTATCTGCCTAATCACCTAACACTGAGCTAGATGTAATAAAAAATTAATGTACAATTAAACTACAAGCTTTAGAAGCAGATCAACCTGTGTTTGAATGCTAGCGCTACAGTGTACCAGCTGTATGATTCTGGACCTGTTTCTTTCCCTCTCTGAAGCTTGTTTTCCTCATTTGCAAAATAAGGATTAAATAAGAATTATATATATACACAGACACACACACAAGTACAGATTATATATGTATGTGTGTGTATGTATAATCTTAAACAAAAAGCATATACCCTAATTGGAGTACACTATACATATCCTTCTGTACTTAACTTTCTTAGCAGTTTTTCGGGAGGATTATTCCTTGTTAACATTCTTTTCTTCCCAGTTTTTTTTATTGTGGTAAAATGCACATAACATAAAATTTGCTGTCTCAACCATTTTTAAGTGTACAGTTCATTGGTATTAAATACATTCATAATGTCGTGCAATCATTACTGTCATTCATTTCTGAACTCTTTTCATCTCATAAAACTGAAACTGTGTATCCATTAAAAATGACTCCTCATGTCTCCCTCCCATCAGCCCTTGGCAATCACTATTCTACTTCGTATAAATGGAATCAGAGTATTTGTCTTTTTGTGATGGCTTATCTCACTTAGCATGACGTCCTGAAGATTCATCCATGTTGTAGCATATGTCAGAATTTTGTTCCTTTTTAAGGCTGAATAATATTTCGTTGTATGTATATGCCATGTTTTGCTTATCCATCCATCCATCTATGGACACTTGAGTTACTTTTATGTTTTAGCTGTTGTGAATATTGCTATTAACATAGGTGTGCAAATCTCTCTGAGACCCTGCTTTCAATTCTTTTGGGTATTTACCCAGAAATGGAAATGCTAGATTATATGGTAATTCTATTTTTAATTCCTTGAGGAACCACTATACTATTTTTCACAGTGGGTGTGCATACCATTTACATTCTCACCAACAGTGTACAAGGGTTCCAATTTCTCCACATCCTTACCAACACTTGTGATTTTCTGACTTTTTTTTCAATAGTAGCCATCCTAATGGGTGTGATATGGTTTTTCATTGTAGTTTTGGTTTGCATTTTTCTAGTGATTAGTGATGTGAGTATCTTTTCATTATCATTCATTTTATGGTTTATATAGTCAATGTAAGGATGTCTCTATGTTTTGGTTTTCTATATTAGAAACAATACTGCATATAAAAATATAAAATATTAAACATTTTTATATATGAGAGTACAATTTTTACATACATTTCTGGCTGTGAATTCCCTGGGCTGAAAAGGGTATACCCTGGGTGGTGTGAGTGCTGCCAGCTTGGCTGTCCATAAACAACATGTGAGTGTTAATTTTTCCAAACACCGTCACCAAAGCACTGTGTTTCCAAACTTCTAAATGTCACATCAACATTTTCTTTAAATTTTTTAATTTTGTAAATATGTATTTCAATGAGAGTTTCTGGAATCTTATCAGATAGTATTCTGTTGTAAGTATTTTTCCACTTTATTATCATTTCTACTATATAATATTTCAGATTGATGTACTGTAACCATACTATATACATATAGTTGGTCCTCAATAACTGTGGGTTTCAATTTTGTAGACTCAACCAACCTTGGATCAAAAATATTAGAGAAAAAAAAAAAAATTTAATGAAAGAGTAAAACAAAAAATTATACACATAAAAAACCAACACAGTATAACAGCTTTGTAGACTCAACCAACCTTGGATCAAAAATATTAGAGAAAAAAAAAACAATTTAATGAAAGAGTAAAACAAAAAATTATACACATAAAAAACCAACACAGTATAACAGCTATTTACAGAGAATTTACATTGTATTAGGTATTATAATTAATCTAGAGATGATTTAAAATACATGAAAGGATGTACATACTTATTTGCATATAAGGAAGAGATTTGAGCATCCTTGGATTTTGGTATCTACAGGGGGTCTTGGAAACAATTTCCCACAAATACCAAGAGATGACTGCATGTACTACATATTATTCTGTTTTCTGGCTGTTTCGGTTAATGCATTTTATTTGGAACTTTAAAAAATTTCTTTTTGTTTGCAATATTTTAATTCTGAGTACTAATTTTTTATTTTACTTGTATTGTTAAAATGAGTTGAATATTTAATTTTGGGGATGAAGGGGATATGGTGAGGTTCTACATCCTTGATTCCTTTATAACCATTTTAAGATTGTTTTGGATTAGGCTAACCTGCTTAAGTTAATTTCTGCCACTTAAATTTGAAAAAGTTTATTTCTGCTAAAATTTAGAATTACGAAGTCTAAATTAGAGCATAATGTACAATAAGGAAATTAAAGACAATAATCTCTACTAAGAAGCCTATAGAAATTGCTTGTTTCAAATAAAGCATGTCTTAAATTTAACATTGTTGGGCCTGATTGCACCAGACTATGTCCAAATATACTGTTACATATCAGTTTTAGACAACCCATAGTAGTAATATCTTCAGTTTCCCCAAGTAGGAATTTGGGGATATTTAATAGTAAAGTTTAACATTTTTATTGTGAATCATTCCTATTTATTGTGATCTATTTCCAAAATACCATAATATATAAGTAGAATTTAAAATAGAAGATGTTTTTGATAACCATCTTTTTTTTTTATCGTACCAGGTAGTTTTGGATGTTGGGTGTGGAACTGGAATTCTCTCTCTGTTTGCTGCTAAAGCTGGAGCAAAGAAGGTTCTTGGAGTTGATCAATCTGAAATACTTTACCAGGCAATGGATATCATAAGGTAGATGCATTTTAAGGCTTGATTTAAGATTATTTTAAAATTTGATGATTATTTAACAAGTTTTCTTGTCTTTAGTAGCTATCTAATGCAGGCTTAAGATGTTTGTCTTTTGATAAAAATTCATTCCAGAATAAGAGATTTTAAGTTGGATTGAGCTAGACATGTTGGAGGTATGGTGGTGAATAATCTTTTCATAGTTGTCATTGATGAGAATTATTTTTATATGGTTTTCTGGCTTTGTAATTATGGCTATAAATATGCTAACTCTAAAATAAAATTAGAAATTATTGATACATAGGTTAATATGGACAGAGTACTTGACAGAACTAAATGTTTATGTTGGTAATTTTTTTAGGAAATAGCAACTAGACTAAACACTAAGGGTTATCTGTCTTTCTCTTTTGTTACAACACTAGCCCTCAAATTAGGTAAATTCCAGAATGGCTAAAAATAAGGCAGAGTGGATTTAGTTTTATTCCCTAAAATTTAAAATGCCTCTTCTCATTTGAGTAGTTAATTTAGGTTATGGATCAGTGGTTGATTTTACAATTGGCTTATGTCCTAATAAGAGTGCCTTTATTTTAAATACAGCTGTATTAGTCCGTATTGTGTTGCTATAACAGAAATACCTGAGATGGGTAATTTATAAAGAACACAGGTTTATTTGGCTTACAATTCTGGGACAGCTGCATCTGGCACAGGCCTCAGGCTGCTTCTGTTCAGGGGGAAAGGCTGCAGGCAGCTGGCAGTTACGAGCAGATCAGATGGCAAGAGGAAGCAAGAGAGAGAGAGACGGGAGGTGCCAGGGTCTTTGAAGCAACCAGCTCTCGCCTGAACTGATAGAGCAAGCAAGATCTCACTTAGGCCTCCCTCCTCCAGGGAGAACATTAATCCATTCATGAGGGATCCACCCCCATGACTCAAACAGCTCCTAACACTGCCACACTGGGGATCAAATTTCCACGAGTTTTGGCGGGGACAACACATCTAAACTCTATCTACAGCTTTTAGCCTATAGCCATAACACCCTGATTTCACCCTATCTCATCTGATCTGGGAAGCTAAGCAGGGTCAGGCCCTGCTTTGTACTTGGAGAAGGGTATCGCCTGAGAATACCAGGTGCTATATAGGCTTTTATTTTTAAAGTTAAAAAAATAAAAAAATACAATTTTTACAACTAAATTTGTTTAGCTCTGTGCATAACAAAAGCACCTTACACTTGGAACTTAGGAGTAATTTCCAGAATAAGTAATTTATAGGAAGTGTCTCATAGCAATTTTTAAATAGTCCTTTCACCTATACTTACGTTCCACTCTTAAAACTGATTGATGTGGATCTTTTCTGATGGGTACAAAATTTAAATATGATTATGTAAAATGTTTAAATATTATTAGATTTTTATCTCATAATGTAGAAGGATGATGTGGTTAAGAGCACAGATTTGAGGTAGGCTTGAGTTGGAGTCCTCACTCTACCACTTAACCAGTACTTTGAACTTGGGTTAAATTACATCCACCCTGTTGGACACTATTTTCATCTGTTTTCTGTTGCTTGTAACAGAATGCCTGAAACTGGGTAATTTATAAGAAAATGAAATTTATTTCTTACAGTTTTGGAGGCTAGGAAGTTGAAGAGTGCATCTGGGGAGGGCCTTCTGGTAGGGACTCTGTACAGAGTGCCGTGGCAACACAGGTTATCATATAGTGAGGGCTGAGCAAGATCGTTTTTATGTGTGCAGTTGCTCTCCTTATAAAGCTCCCAGTCTACTACTTGATAACCTACTAAACCATTAACCCATTTATACATGAATGGATTAATTCATTCATGAAGGCATAGTCCTCATGATCCAATCACCTTTTCAATTCACCCCAACTTTCAAATGCCATATTGGGGATTAAGTTTCAACATGAGCTTTGGAGGGGACAACATTCAGCCCATAGCAGAAACCTCAATTGCTTCACTGTCAAATGAAAATAATGGCTACCTCACATGGTTATCAGTAAGATAAATAAGTTATAAGTAAGATATACATGTAAATCACTTTGGCAAACTGCCTAGCACATAGTATCCAAACGTAAGCTACAGTTATTATTAACAATTACCAAATTAATGTTAATGGAAAAATTAAATTGATCTTGTTCAGGTTTGTGGTTATGATTTTTATATTGAAAAAAATATACTAGAATTCCAATTGCAATTATGTATGCAATTATATAATCTAGTAAAGTTTTTTTCTGGTTCTTATTATACCATTAAGTATAATATCATCATTTTTGGGGTTCCATACAGAGCACCCTCTATTGCTTATGCAGTTGCCATCCAAACAAATGTGAGAACCACTGTCCCAAAGAATAGCTTGTTTTAGAAGAATTATCACAAATTTATTGTTGATAGATTATGGTAAGACATTTCTATTAGAAGTTTTAATCTTACGAAAGGCCATGTCCATTTATGAATTAACTCGTTTTTGATTTCTACACAATGGGACTAGATGTGTTCTCATTTTAATTTCTACTTTATGGAAGAAATGGAAAAGGATTGTGATAACATTCATTTCATTTTGTTTTGTTTCATTTCACTTCACAGAGGCCCTGATTCCCAGTGATTTTGTACCAATACCTAACACATTTACACAATGATTACATTCAAATTCATGTGTATAAAACTTAGTGCCACAGTGTACAGTGTCCAAGCTTATTATCATTTCTGATACACACACACACACACATAAAATTTTCAGTTACTTTAAATAGTGAGGAACACACACACACACACACACAAAATTTTCAGTTACTTTAAATAGTGAGGAAAATGTTTGTGATGGAAATTACTGATATAGTGAAATTTACTGGCAGTCCCTTTTTCTTTTTTTTATGGTCTTCTAATCACTTTATCAGGATATATATTACTGTTGTTGTTGGTTTGCGGTTCTGGAAGAGCAAGACAGTGAAATTAACAGGCATATTGTGGTGTATCAGTGAGCTCCCGGCAAAAAAATTGCTTAAAAAATTTGTATTTTATAGTATTTTTTCAAATTGATTGATCCAGCCAAACTACATAAATCTTAAAATTTAATGTAATGAGCTTATTTAATACTATCCTAAACACCTGGAAAATATTTTAAAGTACTATTTAAAGATAATTCACATTGATCTACCCAGATTTAAGAATACTCCACCCTCCCTCCCCCCACTAACCCTAAATATTTTTATTAGAGTTAGAAGACCTTCTAAGATACATTTATGACTAGTGCAGAGCCCAGAATAGTTTAGGATTAATATTTCTTATGTTTTTCGGCTCCTATATACTTCTTATTAAAGGATGGGTGTCAGTTTGCATTTATTAGTATTATTTCCATTAAGATAGTACCTTGCTTCTGCATCAGTGGGCAGGAGAAGAATTGTGAAAGAAATGTGTGGCCCTTGATTGAGCAAATGGAAACTACTGACATAAGGGATGCTTTTCCATGTTCTGAGATAGTGAACCTATCCTCCCTTCTCATCTTTGGCTCTTTCACTTTTAAAGCCAGAGCTGCAGAGAATGACTTTTTAGCAGCATTTACAGGATTCTACACAAACATGTTTCTGATGTAACTTAACAGTTATTTTAGCTAAGTGAGCACATATCTAAAAAGTGTTTTCACAATATTTTAGCTCAATAATAATGATGTTTCAACCCAGTAATCTAGCATAATAGCTTTTCATTAAAATTATTAAGGTAGAAGATACCTTGGACCCCTCACTTGAGCTCCAACAAAGTTTTAGGGTGGAATAGGTAGAGACACATGACTTATTTGGACAAGGATCCTCTGCCTGTAGTCATTGAGCCAAGGTACTTGTCTTCAAAGTTTTCTGCATATAGTTTTTGTAAACTGAGCTTGATCATTTTGCCATTCAGAGTTTTGACTTTTGAACACTAACTTTAATGTAGTGGTGAAGTATGAAGCAAATATTTCAAATTATTCTTTGCTATTTCAAATATCTTTTCATTCTTATCAGTGTTTATCCTCTTGATCTTGTAAAGTATAGTTTTCGTGAGATTCCTGTTGTCTACAGAGTATATCTGGACTCTGCTGGAATATCGGATAGTTGTAGAAAGGAAGCATAGTGAAGAAATCAAATGCAGTGGAGAGATCAAAATCAGTTTCACTATTGCAAATAATTATTTTCTTTCTCTAACATTAGCTGTCAGAGAAATCACATTTGTAACAAACATTACAAACATAGAGAGTATACCAAAATGACTAAAACTAAAACTCACTGTTTTTAGCACTGATGATTAGGCTTGTGCATCTAGTTGCTTGTTGAATACCTTGTCACTCAATTCCCGATTTTTTCAGATAGAGACTATCAAAGGTGATAGTTGTTATTATCAAAATACAGTGATATTCTTGTAGACCTTTATCTTACCTTGTGTTAGATAGCCATGTTTAAGGTGCATTATAGGCATTATTTTTGCCAGTCATTACCAGTCATAGTGATTCGAGCAGAGAGAAACAATTGTTCGTCAGATATATTTTGGTAAAATATAAATTAAAACATTTTTTTCACAAAACTGTTGGACAGTTATGTAGTCTGACCCCCTCCTGTTTGCTTTGAAATAGCAAAGTTATGCCTGACAATCTTTAAAAGAATTTATTTTTGAAATTTACAACCACACATGACAGTAGAGAGAATGATATGGATCCTGATGTACCGATCACCCAGCTTCAACAGTTATAAATATTTTACCATTTTGTTTGATCTGTCTTCCCTTGCCCACCTTTTCTGTTTGTTTTATTTTTATTTTTTTGGAGTATTTCAAAGCAAATCTTATCAGTAAGTGTGTCATAATATATTTGAGTGTTACTGCATGAGAACATTTAGTGAAAACAAGTTAGCACTCAATCTTTAAGTACTCTTATTTAATAGTAAAAATAGATAATATTAATTTAGCACTTTCTATTGAATTTCCTATGAGGTAGGTATGATTACGATAGATTATTATCCTTATTATAGAGA